TGCATTAGAACTACCTTCCACCTTCCTCAAAAGATTTCACATACCCCTCCTAAGATAGTTGATCTTAGGAGCTTCTTCTTAATAAAAACTTGATTAAATATAGTTGCAAAAATTGTAGTGGAAAAATAACCCATACTCATGAAAGAAATCCTACGGTAAACGGCACAAACTTATTTCAACAAAATGTTAGAGAAAATAATTTATTAAAAAATAAAATAAACTGAAATCAATAAAAAACTGATTTCTAAAAGGAACATAAATGGTGAGAAGTATTACTCAAGAGTTAAATAATAGCAAATCAAATATTTGAAATGTATCATACTACTTCCAGAATACATTGGGAGGAATACAAAAAATGAATATAAAGAGCGTATAGTAGTATTGACCTACGTAAGGAGAATCATATAACTTCTTCAAATGATAATTTCAATTACTGTAGTAATTATAAAATTTCCGATTAATCAATAACAGAAAAAAAAGAAGGGAAATGTCATTTTCTGAATAGAAAGCAGTAAATGTTTAAAACTCTATAACTCTGCAACGAATCGTCTCATTTCGATGACATTTTTTTTATTTTGTCGGCAATTCCGGAATCTTTCAAATAAATATGGGTATTATCAATAAAAAATTGTGTCCTTTTTTAGTTATCGGCAAATAAAATATTGAATTCATCGTAAAAAATTTTCAGCTTCTTTTCGGGAAAGTATGTTATACACATAAATTAAAAGTGTTTCAAGGGGAAGACTTTAGCCAAGTTTCGTTAAAATCATTAAAGCTGTTTTGGCGCCTCAGTGTATAACGACACATTTTTTGCAGCTTTGGACAAAAAAACATTTACATTTTAATTTTTTTTACATATACAAAATTATTCTAAGACAGAAGTACTATGCCAGAAAGCTTCGCAGAAGTGTACGGAACAACTTCCTAAAGTTTCATGACAATCGGATGAATGGTTCAGTAATGCAGTGTATAACGACACATTTTTTTGCAGCTTTGGACAAAAAAACATTTACATTTTAATTTTTTTTACATATATAAAATTATTGCAAGACAGAAGTACTATGCCAGAAAGCTTCGCAGGAGTGTACGGAACAACTTCCTATGGACAAACAGACAGACAAACATACATTCATTTTTATATATATAGAAGATAAATAGATAGAAGAAGATAAGAGGTTGAAATTTTTACACTGATCTACCTTAAGCTGGTTTACATTGCTTTATTTAGTTTATCAAACAAATTATACTCAAATCTTTTCTTTGATCAATTTTCAGGAAAATAAATCTAATTCAATTTTTTTTTTTTGTTTCTTGATGGACATATTTAAAGATTTAAAAACTTCTCAGGAAAGTAGTGTGAGTGGACACACCAGATTTTTATTTATTTTCACTGGTATATAAACACATTTTAATTTTTATATTGCTGCAATCTATATTAATTAAATATTAAATAATGACAACACTAGCATTTAAGAAAACCACACATGTATATAATATATACATATGTATATAATATTATCAGAGCCCGTATTTTATTAAGCAAGTGTTACATAAGAAAGCTTATTCTAACCATTTGGTCAAGCTTCAGTCTCTTCAGTTCTTTAGTACGATCCCTTATTTCTCCTTTAGTAAATTATCAAATTCTTTCATATTTTATATTTAAACATTTTTTTATAGTATGTTACAATGTGAAATGGATAACTACTTCAAATTAACAAAAAACTAAAGGGTGCTCCAGACCACACAATAGAAGTGAAAACATCAACAAGACGAGATTAATAATATGAAATATAAATTATAAATAATAGCCCATTATAAAGAGGATGAAATGCTCAATGTTCCCCTTTCAAACAATAGAAAAAAATACATGCAGATCTGAGTTTGTTTCTGGAATATTTTAATGCATATCTTGCATAAAACTCGTTATCATTTGTTTTTCAACACTTGTTTTTCAACACTACCTGTTCCTTTTAACTTCTCTGACACGGCATCACATTAATATACAACTTAGAATAATAGCAAATTACAAAGAAACATTTCTCTTGCTTACAGTATGCAGGTCCGATTTTTGGTTTCTGAGATATTTTAATCCATATTGTAATATATGTCTTTATTGGAAGTTGGTAAAAATGGTTTAATAAATTAATGTTGAACAGTTAAAAGGCAAGCTGATCTAATTCTGCTTATGTCAGGGGGTGTTTAAATTTGAAAAATAGTTCTACTAGTTCAGGAAAAGGAACTTGGCTGCTCTGTAGTTTCCCCAAATAGGAAAATCCCAAAGAGGGGAGGGACAAAAGATTTTTGTTTTGGCAAGCAGTTGTTTTTTGGCTGGGGCATTAGTTGTTTGGAGTTACCAGAGAGGATCTCCCAGGGAGCTTGAGTTGAGTAGAAGAAAGTGTTACCATTTTGGAAGGTACAGTGATGGAAAAAAGTATCTGCACGTCATGTTTTTAGGAATAAATGAGTTCAACGAACCAAAAAACTTCGCTTTCCTCTGCAAAAATGAAAAGTACATTTGTTAAAACCTGAGAAAAACCTTTTGGAAAAAAATGACAACACTCCATAATGAAACAAAAAAATTAAAACAATAAAAGTGCTTGGAAAAAAGTATTTGCACCCTATGACTCACAAGCTCTGTTTACTTTGGCATTAATCCTCCTGTGTGCATAGGTCATAGGTTTGTTTACTAATTTATCTCTAATCGTTTATTACCAGTATTCTCTAGTCTTTCAATCAGTTTCCTTTAGTCAATAGACAATTATCATGCCAAAGACGAGTTAACTGTGTGGCGTAACTCACGAAAAAATTATTTTACTGAGGAGTCAGCAAAAAACACAACGCCAAATTGCCGATTTCTTAGGGTTGTATTTTTCTACAGTGAGATACATCATAAAAAGGTATGAAAAACGTGGTTCAACTGAAAACAGTGAGTGTAAAGGGCGCCCAAAAAAGTTAACTCCCAGACTGAAGAGGAAAATCAGAAAAGAAGCTCTTAAAAATCCTATGATAAGTTCTCGGAAGCTGGCTACTACCATGGTCCAATCAACGTCTGGAGTTCAGATTACTAGCAGAACAATTAGATATGCCCTGAATTCGGAAGGGCTCCATGGTAGAGTTCCAAGAAAGAAACTATACATCAGTGAAACGAATCGCAAAAAACGCCTTGCTTTTGCTAGGGAGTATGTACAGAAACCCTTAAGCTTTTGGGAAAAAATCATCTTTTCTGACAAAAGCAGATTTAATTTGTTTGGGCCAGATGGTCGAAGGACGATATGGCGACATAGTAATGAAGCCCTAAAGAAACAAAATGTTTTAACAACTGTAAAGCATGGTGGAGGACATGTTATGGTTTGGGGGTGTGTTTCCTACCATGGCGTGGGAAACCTTGTGAGCATCGAAGGCATTTTAAATGCAGAAGGCTATGTGAACATTTTGCGACATAATTTGCGTGTTAGTGCCGAAAAAATGGGAATCCAGGATCAATACTATTTCCAGCAGGACAACGATCCAAAACATACTGAGAGGAGAACAAAGGAATGGTTAATATTTCATGTTCCAAGACAACTCCACACTCCTCCTCAGTAACCAGATATAAATATCATTGAAAATTTAAGGCACACTTTTGACCAAAATGTAAGAAAACACCATATCACTAGTGGACATCACCTTAAACAACTTCTTGTTCAAGAATGGGAACAAATACACGTAGATTTAATTAAAAACCTAGTGCATTCAATGCCCAGACGTCTACAACAATTATTGACGCAAATGGTCTATTTACAAAATATTAAAACTATTAAAATTTAAAATAAGCTTGTAAATGCGGAAGGGTGCAAATACTTTTTTCCAAGCACTTTTATTGTTTTAATTATTTTGTTTGATTATGAAGTGATTTTATTTTTTTGTAATAAGATTTTTAATAAATTTACTTTTCATTTTTGCAAAGGAAAGCAAAGATTTTTGTTTCCTTGAACTACTTTATTCATAAAAACGTGTTGTGCTAATACTTTTTTCCATCACTGTATATTTCGCATAACCCAGAAAGTATTTAAAGACAAATAAACTCAGTGCCACGAAGGAAGAAACAGTAATATGTAGAAAAAAGGATAGAGCCAATCCATACCTGAGATAAAATAATTATAAATTTCAATTTAATATATTAATATTCTTATAATTTTATTTATTATTTAACAATCTCTTATTTATTTTGGAAGTATTGATACAGTATGAAGTGTTCTCCCGAGGTTATATTATTAGTTAAAACATAAGAAATATTACAATCTCTTCAATAAAACTCGTTGTTATCACTTGGTTTTCGATACTATTTTTTCCCTTTTTGCCTCTCTAACACAGCATCGTTAAGATACACTTTTGAATAATAATTCATTACAAAGAGGATGAAATGATGAACATTTCTCTTGCTAAGAATATGCAGGTCCAATTTTCAGTTTTTGAGATATCTTAATCCATATACAAAAACACGATAAGTCGACTTTACTTGAGTGTTAAACATCGGAGATCTGATGGCTTAATCTAATCCACTTTCAACAAAAAAAGTGCAAAACGCGCCTTAAGAAGTTTTAACTTCAAAAGTTACAGGTACTTTAGAGAAACGTGTATTTCAGTTCAAAATTCAGCTTTTCAAAAATTTTCACGATCGCAATACTTTCCCTTGATATATAATTCATATATAGGTAAGTCAGAGTAAAAACTATAAACTAAGTCCAGTAAAACAAATAAAAAGGAAAATTACTTTGTGAATACTATTAGATGATCATTTGTGCAATTAAATTATACCTACCTAAATGTTTTATTTTTTTATGCTATAATAAATTAGTCTAATAAGTTACTAAGCTATCCGTGGTCCCCTAGAAAGTCATCGATCAAATCCTGACTACTTTATTCATCCTAACAACTGAAGTAGTTGTTGAAGTATTAACTTATCTCATTATATAACTATAAAAAAAAAAAGAAGAGAAATATAGTAATGTCATAATTACCTAAAAATTTCTTCCAGTGCTTGATAAGTGTTTTGGACAAGCTTATAACTTCATCATCAGTGCTCGACTTTCTCAGGGCATTGACTGTCATTCCGATTCTAGTCTTAGTGAGAATCTCAAGATTGACAGGTAGATTTTGGAGAGTTTTGAGCAGCTCTAAAGCTTGTTCTTGGCCCTAAAATAATGTGAAACTTTTAGATTTTTTTATTATTATTAATTAAACGAATAACAAACAAACTTTACATTATAAATGATAACCAATATTTAATTGTATTCAAAACTTATGGATGATCTAAGCATAATGTAAAAGTCATAATATTGGATAGTTGATAGTATTTTGAATTCAGATCTTTAAATGTTTATACATAATTATGACAATCATTTTTATAACATAATTTTGTGCTCATTCCCCAATATATTATCATAAACTAAGCTATTTTCTTATAAGAATACGAAGAACTACGGAATAACTAAGTTTGTGAAAAGATAGGAAGGGATGATTGGTGCTAGATAAAATATGAAGAAATCAATTATGGATAAATGACAATAAGTATGAATAAATAACCAAGAGAGTGTTTATTCTAATGTTGAGGAGTGTTCCAAATCATTTTAATGTTTAACATTTGATTGTCAATATAAGTATTGACATCTAAAGAAATCTATAACAGCACCAATTATTTAATGATAATCCTGGAATACTTCTACATATATAAAATATAAGAAGAATTTGTTTCATAAATATTTTTGTCATTGCTTTGTATTTCTTTACCAAATTAAGAATTGAATATAAATAAACAAAATTAGATGTTTTGAAGTACTAGGTCTCCATTAGTTGATATATGTTAAATTTAATTAGAGTTAACAACTTTTTTAATCACAAAGATAATCTTCATGTTTTTAAATTCTCTCGGAAAATGAATTGACTCTATGCAAGAACTAAAAAATGCATCTGTAGACTATGATAAGAGATATCAAACTTAGATGCATCATTGGAATAATCAAGTTTTGAAAACATTAATCACAAGATTTTAATTAAAATAGAATAAGGTAAGCAAGGATTCAATTAAAATTAAACCAAATCTTTTTACTGCATTAAAGATGTGTAGTTGTTTATAAACATTTTGTTGGGTTATGTAGAGATATGTGGGATATAAGAATGGACATATTAATTTAAGGAATAAATCAAGAGGCACCTAAATGAATACATGAATCGAATAATGAAAATGTACATTAACATATAGTAAATTTTGGAATATTTTTAGAACAATAATAAACGTGTATTTTAAAAATAAAAATTATAAACCAAATCAAATGAATAGCAGGAATAATAATAAAATAAAAGTTCTCAAAATGAGTAGGAACGGAATCATATTTAAAATAAATTACTTCCGTTCATATAGTTTTGAAACTTTACTAAGAACAATCTTAAATTATAAATTCCATAACATTTGAAATTAGTATTAACTAAATCACAAATTTGATCGAATTAACAACCACAAATGAATATTTCTATTTCCTCAAAAATTGTACATTGAAAACAAATACTGGAAAAAAAACCATTTTAAATTGGTTTTCAATAACTAAAATTCAAATAAAAACACTTGGCTACAATATTTGTAACGGAGTGTTCCATCTTTGATAGATAAAATAGTATTAATGCTATATTAGGTGCATAACTAATGTAAATATTCAAAAGGGATATACATAACATGGAAATTCTATCAATACTGGAGATATACTTTATTCAATCAGAAAGTAAAATATATAGCCTTAACAATATATTAATTCTATGACAGAAGTAATCGAATGATATAACACGGTAACCGAAGGCATGCATATCCCACTAAGAGACATTGTTAGAAGTGGACAAATGGACAATTTTATAAAGGGGTGGTGTAATTGAAAGCCTTCAATGAAAAAAAGAATTTTTAAAAACTAACATCAAAACTTGAACTTCGGCAAACATACATAGTTACAAGAAATTAATCAACAATCAAGACATCAATGCACCAAAACATTAATAGGTAATTTTGATAAAACATTTAAAATAAAAACCTGAGGAAAATACATTTATCACAAGAGACAAATCAGTTTAAATTTATAACAATGTATTTAAACAATTTAACCTACACCATCCCCTGTAGTAATTTTCGTGAGCTTCTTTTGAATACGCATGACGTCTTCTTCAATGCTCATTTTGAAAAAAACGACAATAACTATTCACTTCGATAAATATAAACAATCCTACCGCCACAGAAAGCCGACTGACGAATACCGCTTCAACAACTACCTACAAGAGCCCAAGAGCCGTATTACCAAAACTTAATGCCTCTTAGATCATTGTTCAAAGAATTGTTGTTAATAATAAATAATCAAATAATAAAATTTTCATATTCCCAGTACAAAAACTATTATAGATTTATTTAATAAAGTAATCGAAATATATTTATATAAGAATTTATAAATAACAACATCTCTTGCTATCTGTGTAATCGATTCTTACAATGAATACGCGATATATGTAGTCGATCATGTGATGTGAAGTTTTTCTTTTTCTTCCAGAGTTCGTAATTATGGCACACACAGAGTTATATGATGTTTTAGGTGTTAGCAGAACTGCATCCGAAAATGAAATTAAAAAGGCGAGTGTTTATTATTTTTAGTTATATTATGGTTTCTAATTCGTTCAAATGTATTTATTTCGTTTAAAACTTGAAAACTGAGGCTCCTTGTTAGATTTGTCTTTGTTCTTCCTTTCACATACACGTTTTTGTTTACTCTTTATTTTTAACAAAGCATCAGTTATTGATTGTTTTAAATAAAAAAAAAATCTAATGTTGTTTTCCACAGGCCTACCGAAAGCTTGCTAAAGAATTTCACCCTGACAAAAATCCACATGCAGGAGATAGATTTAAAGAGATTTCATTCGCTTATGAGATCCTCTCTGATGATAGGAAAAGGGATATGTATGATCGATATGGTTTAGAAGCATTACAAGGAGGTGGCGGAGGGAGCACAATGGGTTATGATATTTTGTCTCAATTATTTAATATGTGTGGTGGTTCTCAGAGAGGACCAAGAAAAGGAGAAGATACAATTCACCCTCTTAGGTAAGGCTAAGGAATATATTTACTTACGGAAATCTAATGTTTGCCACTATTTAAAGTTCTTAAATAATCACATATATAAAGTGTAACTTAAATCAGATGTGTAACTTATTGCAGATCATTATTTCATTTTTATTTTTATTAACTTACAAAGAATACAAAAGGTAAAATGTATGCAGTCTAATATTGCTTTAATTTTTGCCAAGTATGAGCAATATAAAGATGGATGAATTCATCTTAAGTTTATTACTCAGCAATTTAAATACAACAGCTTTAGTATGATTGGTCTATTACATCAGCAGTACAAAATTTGATATTTATTAATCAGGTGTTCAATATTCAGTATTGCTGATTTTTCTAATGTTTCTTAACACAAGTTGCATCCAATCAGGCAAAATTTTTAAACCTTATTTAATAAATGGTATTGTAGAGATAGTCATTATTATTTTTTTTTTTTTATATGTGTGAATATACTTACTATTTTTATTTTAAGTAAACATTTAAATTTGGGTCTTTTATATATAAAAGTCAAGTGAAAAACAGGTTAGTTTCATTTTTTATCTTGCTATTACATACTTGGACATTTTGTTGGTTGTAAGAACAACAATGGCCTCAGAAGAACAGTAATACCTCTTTGATACCCTTTAGTACTTAAACAGATTTGTTTATAAGTTCCTCATTCACTCCATTGCTGTAACATTCAATTTTTTTTTTTTCCATATAAAGCCATTACATAACAATTTGTTGTTTGATTTTCAGAGTTACTTTAGATGATTTGTACAATGGCAAGACCACTAAACTTCAATTACGTAGAAATGTGCCTTGCAGGACTTGTAATGGGTATTTATACAGTTATTATTATTTGTTAGTTATAAAACATTATTAGTATTTTTAGTGACTGTAGTTTTGTTTTAGTAAGGGATCGAAGTCTGGAATGCTTTTAACATGTAAAGGATGTAATGGTCGTGGTTATAAAGTTGCCCATCATCAAATATCACCTAGAATGACACAAGAATTTCAAATGAAATGTGGTGATTGCAATGGAGAAGGTAGGTAACATGATGTATTATCCTGCTTACTGTATTCATGTTGTATTTATATAAGTTATTTTGACATTTTTTCATGCCGACTTAGTCACTGAGTAGTATTTATTATAATATTTTTTATTGAAAACTAATGAAATGAAAAATAAAAATAAGTACAATTCTTATTTTATGAAGAAGGGTCATAAAGTGTTCTTGAGTTTTTTTTCTTCACTTAATTTAAAAAAAAAAATAGTACTGAATAATGGTATTATATTTTTAAAAAAAATTAAGATTAATTAAGTAATAGTCCTATAAACTATATTTTGATGTCACATGATACTAAATATCTTTTTTTTCACTTACCTTTATATGTAATATATAGTAAGGCTAAGTATTGCGATGATCACTTAAATTTTTTAATACAAGTTTACAACGGAAATACACGTTTTAAGGTTCCCTTCCAATCCTTACAATCCAAAATCCTTAATGCTCCATACTTTGTCACAAATAAAACCATTCATAAAGACCTTAATGTACCATATGTCGCTGATTTAGCTCGAGCCAGATATCTATCCTTTCATGATAAACTTCAGTCCCATCCAAATCCGCTTGTTTCCACTCATGCTTCTTTCTCGATTCCTGCTAATCCTCCTAGGCGTCTGAAAAGGAGATGGCCTCATGATCTTCTTACTTAAAATTATTTAGAGAGTGTTACCACTGGCTAGTAACTCTTCAAGCCTGTACATGCCATTATTTATATTTGCGTATATTTACTTGTTGTATTTGTATACAGTTGTAAATTCCATTAAATAAAAAAAAAAAAAAGGTTCTCTGAGTCCAAATAACCAAGTCCCGCAAAATGGTCGTTTATGTTAACAGTCTAGTTCAAAAACCAAAAGTCTTAATGAAGTGAAATAGCATATGTAAGGTTTTTATATGCTAGGGATGTTACAGCATCTTTTCCGTCATAATCAACTAACCGGAAGTGGCACTTTACATAATGGACTAAACTCATTTTTACGATTATCTCGAATACTGTAACAACGCGTTACAGATGTTCAGTATTCCAGATTTTTTCCGTTGAGTTGTGATAATTTTTTCCATCAGTTGAGTAACACAACTTTTAAATATAGCTCGCGATAGAGTAGGTTGGGATGGGAATCGAAGTAAGTAACTGCCTAACCGAGATCTCTAGACAAATTACTCAAGAATTCATAACTTTGGTTCTTCTCAATATTTTGTTTTCATTTAAAGCCTATATTTTAAGTTAAGCAAACCTAAATATAACATTAAAATTTTAAAATTATACCATTAGCCACTACCGTGCTTACCTCTGACAAAATTTTGTTGGACAATGCGGACATCCAGACAGACAAAAAATTTTTAAAAGTAGATTTGGTTTCTGTAATGTATAAAAAAGAAAGATATCATGAAACGGGTTGATTCTATTCAATGTACAGACAAAACCTTTATTTTTATAGATGTTCTTTAACCTATGTTTATTATTAACATTTATTATCAACGTTAAACGAGATCTCTAGAGAAATTGGCTTCCATATTTGGGGAACAAAGCATGACTCAGAGTCCCCTGGACAAATGTAAATATTGTATATAGGTGTCAATGTGTTTTATTTCATTTAGTTTCTGTCCATTATTTCATTTTTTGCACATAGGCTTATTAATTTACTTATTTCATTTTCTTTATTATTTCTATCAAAGTTATTATTTGTATGTACATATTGTTGTGAATGATTAATGTACCCTTATTATTATTAATATTAATGCCCTCAATGTGGCAGAATGTATTAATATTTAATAAAACTTTAAGGAAAAAAAATCTTTATTTATTACATGGGTAATGCTTAATAATTGTATTAGTATTAATGTTAGATTTTTTGTTACAGGACAGGTAATAAACAAAAAAGACAGATGCCCACAATGCCAAGGGAAAAAGATCATCGAAGAGCTTAAAGTTCTTCAGGTGGAGGTTGAGAAAGGTGCTCATGATGGGGATAGGATTGTATTCCATGGGGAAGGTGATAGGCAGGTATACAGATATGAGCATAATTTATTTAGTTTGTAAAAGCCATATTTATATTAGTGTTATATATGTAATACCTCAAACTTCTTATTATTTTTTTAATTTAAATTTTAAAAAATAATGGAACTACTAGTTATATATTAGATTGTTCTGATCTATCTTGAGTCACAGGTGAATATGGGCTAACGCTTTACAGACTACGTTATGTCCCTTTTACACCAAAGTTCCGCCCTTTTTGTTCTATATATTTTCTTTCAACCTTTTCAAAACATCCAAACAATTTCAAGCGCTAATTTTTTTAAACGGTGTCGTTTCTTGAAGTTGAGCAGTATCCAGAAAAAGATTGGTCTTCAATCAACATCTCTCCATTCTCGAAACATGAAAACCACTAAGTAAGTATTTTTCTTACGAAAATTGTCCCCATATGCTGTTTTAAGCTTCACAAGAGTTTCCAAAGGTGTTTTCTCCCACAGAAAACAGTTGCGCTGTATATTTATCCATAGCAAACCCAGTATTTTCTTATGTGAACTCCACTATGCTTATATGTTTGTCCTGGCTCTTATTTGGAGGAACTACAGACTATATTTAATGGATGATGGTCGAGTGTAATTTTCTACAGTTTTCCAGATTGCGTGTTGGTTATAGTTATTGTTTCAGTCTTACTGATCGTAACATGGTGTTCCCTTCCTTAATTAACTGTATATCTGATTAATAATTTTCAAATTGGGCTGTTAGTTTTAAAATTAATATTTCTAAACAAACTTTTCAGTGTTACATATTAATATATATAATTTATACTTATTGTAGATATAATAACATGAGCTCTTTAATAATCACCAAGAAGTCTGCCATTATGTTAAACTGTTCACTTATTATTACTTAGCCTTTTACAAATTATACATCTTGTATTCCTTGTTACTTAATGTTCATTTTAAATTCCTTAGCCAGGCATTGAACCAGGAGACGTCATCATCATTCTCCAAGAAACAGGAACTCACCCTACTTTCAGGAGATCAGGGAATGACCTCTTAATGAAATATCAAATTCCATTAACTGAAGCAGTTTGTGGAGTAAACTTGGTCATCAAGCATTTAGATGGCAGGAATCTCTTTGTCAAAAATCCCCCAGGAACTGTCATACAGCCTGGTAATAACTTTGTCTTATTAAATATGAATTTTAATAATATAATTTCACATATTTATAATGTAATAATCTTATTCAGATATGGTGATGGAAGTCCCGAACGAAGGTATGCCGATTAAAAGAAGCTTTGAAAAAGGAGATCTTTTGATACAGTTTATCGTTGATTTCCCTAAAAGTTACTTTGCTCCAGATCCACAAATTAAGGTCAATTAATAACCTAACAAATTTTCTATGTTATATAATTTTTTATATCTTTCAGCTAAATTTTTTAGGCCATCAATGACCCAAGTAGGTAGATACAGATTATTTTTAAAAGAGTTATTTTCATCATTTATCAAAACTGTTTTACAGCATTCACGTTTGTTTATAATTCAATAAAATTTATTTTTCCTAAATCATTAAATAATTGCACAACCAATTTAAGTAATTACTGGTGTATAGTTTTCTTTAATTTAAAACAAAAACTTTTGAAAATCCCAATAGATTGTTGAGTAATCAAATTTAATTTTTCCTTTTCATATGAACCAGTAACTTATTAGTTTTCCTTTGTGGTAGAGTGTTGGAACCCCTTATTATTTGGTATTAGACAGGGACGCTTCTTTTTTTTTAATCTGCACAAGTGCACTGCGGTCATGTAGGCCTATTGTACGCCTTATTTAAAGTCGCTCCTGTTTAGAGTGTAATTCCTGCAGCCTCAATGAACTGTAATAAGCTTGTTGGATTGATAAACTCGTTTGCCTTGGGATCCTTCTCCTTATCAATGCCGAATAATTGGAATCTTAATCCAGCGAACCTGTCGCACCAGCAAGTAATATGGTAAGCTGTCTCATCCTCCCGGCCACGGTACCTACTAAGAGACAACTCTGTGAGCCGGAGTTTGAACATATGATAATTCAGTTTACAGTGCCCTGTATATGCTGCTGTAGTTTTCTTAAGTGAGCTCCTGCTCAGAAACTTTTTGACAGATTCCTTCCAGAAACAGTCAAGAGTGGGTCTGTTTTTTCAAGTACCAGTTCTTTTTAGTTTCAGCACCATACATCTCCCCGATTCTGTTTGTTATTAGACACTGACTAATTCCACAGATGGATTCCGGAGCTACAGTTGTCTTTATTGAGCCTAGTCTAGCTAGTTCATCCGCCATCTCATTGCCATGTATTCCAGAGTGACCCGGAACCTATTCAATGTTTACCTTGATAGGTCTGGATAAGTCATTGAGAATTCTGACACAATCCCCAACAGCCTTAGACCTAGTTGTATAGTTGTCTAGTACTCATATGGCCGCTTGGCTGTTAGTATATATCGCGATTCTCCTCCCAACTAACCCGTCAAGCAAAATTTTTGAAGCACAGTGAGTTATCGCCAGTATTTCAGATTGGAACACTGTTGCATAATTTCCAAGTGGTATTGACCTGCCAGCCTCTGGTCCGTCCCTTCTCCAAAAACCAGCACCAGATCCGCATGCCATAAGTGACCCATCAGTATAACAATTAATCCCATTGATGGGTTTGTGTTTTCCTGAGCTGTCTATTTTTATATTAAAAATCTTCGTGAGAAATTCTCGGGTTTGAGATAGGGATGCTTTGTTTCTTCTATCTTATTTCTTATGGTACTCGACATCATCTCTTCATAGAGATGAGCTCATGAGAAGAGCTCTTCATAGAGAATGAGGACTTTGGTGAAGGTTCAAGGAAAAACTTGATGATCTGGATTTTGTAGATAACATGTTATTTCACCATAGAAATCATATGAGTTACTTCATATCAAAGACTGACACCTTACTTTTTTTTATTCTATTTAAAAATGTTCAAGTTGAATCAAGAAAAACAAGCATTAGGGTTGGTATCAATTGAAGCCATGTTAAATTGACTTTTTCTCAACTTTTTTTAAAAATTATAGATGACCATCTTTGTTATGAGGGCGCTCATATAGAAGTCGCACGGCACAAGATCCAGTTAATAAGATGGGTAGTTTAGCACTAGCAAGCTGTACTTCACTAAAAACATCTTGACAGACAATATGAAATGAGCTGGCGCATTGTCTCAGTGAATTCTATGACTGGTCCTCCTGAAATTTTTTTTTTTTTTTTTTTGTTCTTTCATATAGTTCAGTAAGAATGTGAATGCATTACTGTTGATTAATAGCATGACCGCCAAGAACTCAGCGAAGGTTCAGAATCCGATGAGCATCGTTGAAAAAAATATCATTATTGCTTTGAATTTTAACTTGCTCATTCGAGCACTTTTCTCTCGGACATGGGTAGACATTCATTGCCATAAACTTTGAATAAATTAAAGGTTACAGTAGCGGTTTTCCCAACAACAACTATTCGTTGCTCAATTCTTGAACTTATCATATTTCTGGCGAAAACAAGAAACAATTCAGTATGAACGAAATTGATTACTAAACAAATTTGTTTACAGAAGAAAGAGAAGGCTTCATGTTGAACAAGCAATTAGTAGTTGACATTTGGTAGTCCGTGCTTCATCTGTTGCAGAATCGGTCTTGTTACTTTATAGCCACACTTTGTATGGTGAATCAGGATTGGGGGAGGCTGGTGAAAATGTTAAGAGCCAGATAAGGAAAGCACAAAAAGCATTCTCATAGCTCTGATAAGTCTGGAAATCTGGAGGGAGAATGAGCTACAGACATTCGTTAATAGATGTCTGTAGGACTTATTGTTAGCGTGGTGACTGAAACTATTTCTAATGCTGAACTTTTTTTATGCAAACTAACCAAGTTAGGAAATGGATTTAAATGTCGGAAATAGAGACGCCTGGACCAACATTTAGATTTTAGGTTAACAATTTAACCTTGCAGAGTCTAGAGTAAAAAGCCCTAGGACAGCTAAGCCCACGGGTGGTCTAGAGAAATCTAGGCCTACTTAATCCTTAAATCTGAATTTGTTGAATTAAGTAGTTTCATTGAGCAATTTTTTTTATTTTTTTTTTGGGAGGGGCTATCTGATGATGTATCTATTAATTTGGAAATAATGGATATTTAAATTTATAGAAGCGATTATTGATTTTAGATACTGTAGTTCCCATGAAGAGTTCTCGCTAAAGTGGTAATGTGAACTCAAGTTCTCATGATCAGTTCTATTAAAAGGTTTAGTGGGTTCAAATTGAGATCAATCATATATATTTTTTTTAAATTGTATGATAGAAAAACTTTGTGTTGGCGGCTTCTCTATTTATTACTGCACCATATGACATGCAACTTTCAAAAGAAGATAATGACACGTTTACATTCCAAATCAATGCCCCAGTGGTGCCACCTAACAGATTACGACTTGAACTGACAACCAACTCTTGTTTTATCTCAAACTAACAAGAACTGACCTCATAATTGAAGTTCAAAGTCATGGGCATTGGAGTTCATATGAATAGAAAAGGCTTAATAGAAGGAAATGTTCAGACCAGGACATACCTGATCTGGAGTCAGGAACTTGCTAGATATTGACTCAGGTGATTAGGTCAAAGATGACCACAGTAATGGAAAAGGCCTAAAAAAATAGATATGTAAACTTCAAATTTTGTATTGCTAAAAATTAAGTCTTTTGTACAAATTTCCAAGTAATTCATAGTGTTTATGATTGGATTTTTTTTTTTTTTTTTTCTGTATTAGCTGCGAAAGTAATATTCAAAAGTATGAACATTATTTTTTATTTAATATTAAGGGAGTATTGGAATGAAAAAAATTATATGTCATAATTCTAGAGCTGTGTATGTTCGTAAAGTAGAAAAGTAGCAGAAGTTTCTAATGTACATTAATTTATTCGATCGGTTTATTATGGTGTGTATGTAAATATGATAAAAAATAGTCAATAATTTCAATTACTAAGATGTAGTAGCATTACATTGCATAAATGGCAGATTGCAGCTTTAATTACTATTCTTCAATTTCTTTCCTTTAAGATATGTAAATTGTGTGCTGGAGTTGAAAATGCCTACAACAGCATAGAACAAGATTTTATCGTTTTGGCTTGTCAGGTATGCTTTCTATTGAATGGTTTCCATATGTCAATTGCTGGTTTGTTCTTACATTAATTTGTTTTTTCCCTATAGGCCATGGAAGGCATTCATCATTCTCCACTTCGACCAATCCACATTTCCTATAAGAAATATTATTTCAAGCTGTTCAAAACATTCTTACTTCTACATAAATTAGTTGGTTTTGTACCCATTATTTTCTCAACTGACATGTTATGCTCTAAAAATATATATATATATTAATAATTTTTTTAGCTGAAGTATATATTTGAATTTTCTTATTTATTTATTCTGATTAATAAGTTATGTTCTAAATTGACAAATTTTCTTGAAACAGCTTAGTAATCTATGTATAAATTTTATTTATGTTACATCATCACTTATCAGTTTGATATTAATTTCAGTTAATCGAGTCTCTCCTACCCCCGAGACCTAAGACTGTGATTCCCAAAGATGCCGAAGATGCTGATCTAAATGAATATACTGAAACCCAAGGATCTGCCACGAGCGGCGGCTCTGGAAGCGGGGAGGCCTATGATGAAGACGATGGACCAGGCATGAGGGCCGGCCTGCAATGTGCCCAACAATAAACTATAATCGTAAGTGACAGATGCTTTTTTAAGACATTTGTCTTAATTTTCTATCTGTTATTAACTTAACTATACTCGCAACTGAGATTTTCTCTTATCGAGATTTTTATGTGAAAATTAGTCAGTTTTTGAATTCTTGTGAAATTTAAGTGCTGCACGTTCCTTCGTCGGTTTTCACTGTGAAAGTAAACAATGGAAATATGGTCAGTATCGGTAATTGGAAAAAACCAGTGTCAATAGTTGAATTTCCTTTATGAGAATAATAAAAATGAGAGTCGTGAAATGTTCTTTTATCCTTCAAAAATATATTTAATTATTTAGACTAAACCTATGTCCTCCTTTACTGCAGTATCCTTTAATAATAACCCACTTATCTCTGTTAAACAAATCCAATATCTTGGACTCCACTTAGACAAACGTCTAACTTGGAATCCTCATACCAGACTGAAACGACAAGAAACCGCTCGACGTTTCCGACTACTCCAGCACTTACTAGACAAACGCTCAAAGCTTCCAGTCAATTACAAAAGACTCATATACATGACTACAATAAGACCTATTTGGATTTACAGAGTTGAGCTCTGAGGCTCCACGAAGCCATCGAATTCCTGTCGTATCCAATCATTACAATCCAAAATCCTTCGTAAAATCCTCACTGCTCCTTACTTTGTCAATAATAAAATCATCCATAACGACCTTAATATTTCTGACCTGGCCCAATCCAGATACCTATCCTTCTATAACAAACTTCAGAACCTTTCTAACCTTGCTTCCTCTTCGATCCCTAACAACCCCCCGAGGCGTCTGAAAAGAAGATGGCCTCGAGATCTCCTTTTGTAAATACATTTTTAGAGTGCTACCAGTGAGTAGTTTATCTATAGAATATTATTTTTTGTGGTTTATACATGGAATATTATTATATTCTTTTGTTCATATTTACTGAATGTATTTTTATTTGAAATACAGTTATAAATATCATCAATAAAAAAAAAATTATTTAGACTAGAAATAAAACCTCAGAGGCATAACAGGCTGAGAAAATTTGCTCGGAGGTCTTAGCTACTAGGGCATATGGTATCGATATTCTTCCCAAGTTGCTCTGAAGTACCTCTGCCCATTTCGCTGCTAGCCAGTAACCAATAGTGGGAAGATATTTTCTCTGAGTAACTGATTTTGGAGTTTATAACTATCACAGGTTCCATTCGTCAATGGTGTACTCTCACATGATCTTCCATCTACCAGGCTCTTGATTGATCCTTACACAGAGATATTGCGGTAGACCTGCTAAGTCCAATTATTTGGAAAAAAAAAAACTGCTGTTATAGAAAAAAATTCAGTATTAGTAAAATAATGACAGCAATAATAATTTGGTCCCCTTGGTGGTCTTTTCACTCACGCCTCCGAATGCTGGACATTACCCAGATCACAGGAAGCCCTTCTCCTAAAGTTTGAGGAAAGAATTTATGGTCCAGTTGCGCCAATGGAATCTGGTGTATAAGGACGAATACTGAGCTAACAAGACTATAGGAGTTGTAGCTCCACGGATGATGATGATAAGTAGTTTGTTAATTCTTAAACTGTAGATCAATTACACATCTTAAAGTTTGCCAGTGGATGTTAAAAATCCTGTTAACTCCTCACTAAAACAAAAAAAAAAAATTCCACTCCCTCTTTGATTTTCTGAATCATGTTTGTTTACGTCTTTTTTACATTGGATTGGATATATCTTATTTTTATTCAATTCTGTATGGGTTCGCCATGAGTATTGAACATATGCATAAATATCCTTACGTTTCTAAAAAAAAAGCATTTGCTGATGAAGATATTGAAAATAAAATTTATATGGCAGGTTGGTCATTATATTGAAATAAAACAAGGATAATGAATAAAATTTAAGGAAAATGGAAATAAAACAGTGTTTTTTATAAAGAAAAGCATACCAATACTATTTACTATTTGTAATATATACATCTAGGTCAAGATCTGGCTGGCAAGCACTCATTTGTTCGACCCGTGGTGTTCTTTACAAGAGCATTTATTAACCAGAAATGTCACTGTTCATATCTTCATATACCTCAGGGTGTATCAGGCTGAACTATTTAATATTCCTCCCTCATCTCTTAAATCAATTTTATTAAAAAATTAAATCATTGCTGGACGATCTGTTAGCAGTAAAATAAAACTAAAAAGAACCAGTTACTTCCCTAAACTTGAGCTATCACTTGTAACTTGATTTTCATTATGCTATATATTTCAGCTCAGAGGCTGATAAAAATAAGGGAAAATGTCAAATACTTTGTGGAGAGATCAAATATTGAAACTTTTCCAAGAAAACAGATTTACACTGCCTAATCGAATGTAGTGGGTGGAATACGATGAAATTAACTGTAATAGCTTATATGCCCGTCATATGGATTTAACTATAGATAGAAATGGTACCTTCCTTAATGATATATTTATAACATGCATAGATCATTAAAATACATTTACAAAACATTCATTTTCTGAAGAAGAAGCAAAAGTGACTCTACTATTCTTCTAACCTTTACATTTAATGGAATAAAACAGAAGTTAGGATAATGTTGTATAATTGAATATTTTTTTTATTAATTAATATTTGTGTTTGTATTGTAGGTTCTTTGGAGAGCTGGTTTCTCTAATGAGGAAATACCGATTTCATAAATCCGTCATGCTGTGATTAATATTATTACATGCTTTTTTTGGTTAATTCATCACTCTACTTCTTACAAAACTCAGGGTGTATGCCATAAATCTGTAATTCTGTAGCATGTAATTCTACGATCCTCCCCCGGCCCATGCGCATTACTTCTGCTCACCGATGCAGGCTGTTTATTTGACAAAGAAGTGGTATATCGTTATTAATGCAGCGAGTTTTAGTTAATTTTTCCCTTCTTTTTTTTTTGTATGATATAATATATTGAATTTGTTTTGTACCTGGTAAATAGCGAATAGCTCTAAGTTCCCTTTAAGTGTTTGATTCCAGTTGTACTAATTGCAATTTACTCATGTGTCAGTTTAGTCAATTTACAATTAATTTTCTAATGGATACCTTGATAATTATTCACTCTTTTTTTTTTTTTTTTTTTTTTTTTTTTTTTTTTTTTTTTTTTTTTTTGTCAAGTAGGATTTGTGGTTTTTATATTGATTTCTTTTTATTTATCTGACGAATATAAGAATATACTCTCAATAATAAGTTTAGTTTCCCACATGTTTTTTATGATGTTACAGTGCCATCATTTTGCATTCTTTCTGATCATTTTTCTCACTAATATATATTTGTAACATCATACAATAAATTTAATTGCTATATAAAATTCTTTAAATAAATATTTTTTCTATAGATATTCATTTAATATTGCAGATAATTATGCAGTTGGAGGGGGATGGAGAGTGATATTTTAATATTTTTAAATATGATTTATTAAATTGTGTAATCGATCAATTGTATGTTATTTATTTAGTCCCTTTTTTTTTTTTTTCTATTTTTCTCTAAATTTGAGTTTTCAAAAGCCTCAGTTGGTTTTATTGAAGTTTGTATTTTTCAAGTTCTTAGCGTATTTTTTTTATATTGTTTATATGTATTCTCCTAAAACAATTTGAAATATATAATATTGTGTTTTTATTGGTCAGTTACTGACTTTTTAAAAATATATTTTCAACCGAATTCAGCGTTGAACAAGCTGTGCTGAATTTGTTGAATTATACTGATTGATGTTTTAAAAATTGGTTTATTTTCCCTTTATTATTAAATAGTTCATAATGGACTAAGCGAACAAAAATTTAATTGAATTTTGGCTCAAACTTCAAAGAGCATTAGAAATATGTATATTTTTATATCTTTTATGAATTTTGGAATTACTTGATATCTTAATCTAAAAAAAAAAAAAAAATTGAATTATTCTTATGTTCCTTTTAATATTAATGTATATCATCAATTAATTTATCACTCTTTCTCGAGTTAATATGATTTTATCTATGCACAGATGTGAACCTTTTGTAAGACGATAAATATAACTAATATACTACATTTGAACATTGTATTACATTCCATCTTATAAGTTCTTTTTCATATTGTTCATTATATTACATTAAACTTGTTATTATCTACATTACAATAGATTCGAGTGTGGGTTATCAAATTTTGAGTATTGTTATATAGATCTATTATTATTATTATTATTGTTGTCATTTTCTAACAAACGGAGGGAGGAAACAAGATATTCTAGAAAACCAATTTATTTTTTGTAAAACAATTTGAATGCTTCATCATACTCAAAAATTAAATACCCTATGTTGATAACTGTTGTGTTTTTGTTAAGTACCTTTATTATTACTTAGTATGTATTATTATTTATTTCTTTATTTTGCATGCTTACACAGGATGGTCTTGATAATCCAAATACCTAGATTTCATGGTCAGTTTGGATTATCAAAGGTTAAATTTAAAATGATGGATAAATTACACTTACTTACTTCGATGATTTCTACAATCCAGGGTGGGTCTTGTCCTCATCTAAGAGCTTCCTCCTCCAGCTCGCTCTTTTGCCTTCCAGTTATGTTGGTGAATTATCGTCCTTGAGTCAGCGGCCACATCGGCGCTCCATCTTGACCTGGGTCTTCCTCGTTTCTTTGTTCGGTCCAACACGCCCTCCATAACTTTACTAGGTATTCTCTCTTCAGTCCTGCCCACCTTGATGAACTGTACTACATCAATGTCTCTATTTAACCTTTTTTAAAAGGGCCGTATATTAATATTTTTCTTTTAAAAATTAGGAGACCTTTCTCATCTGCCTTAGTTAGTGTCCAGGTTTGTGAAGCATAGATAAGAACCGGTCTTATTTTAGTTTTGTACAGCTTTACCTTGGTTTATTTGGTGAGAAAGTGGCTCTTCATCTGCCTTGTAAGCCCAAAAGAGCACCGAGCATTCTCAGATACACAAGATTTGGGACCCTTTCAAAAGAGAAATTTCCTATTATGAGAGCTGGGCGTCCACTAGGTCCCTGGGCGTTCACTAGGTTATTCTCACCATTTACCAGCATATGCTTGGTCTTGGTCTCGTTAATTTATAGTCCAATATTCAGCACTGCCGACTGAAGAGCAAGAAACTCGTTCTCCATAACTTTCCTTGATCTCGCCACTATGTCCAGATCGTCAGTGAAGGCCAATAGCTGTACGCTTTGATGAACTACGGTTTCCTGAGGTCTGTATTCCTGAATTTCGAACTGCCTTCTCCAGGGCCAGTATGAACAGCAGGAATGCCAATCCATATCCTTGGTGTAGACCTTTCCCTGTCCAAAACTCCCTAGAGTGATCTCCCTGTACTTTGCTCGTTACTGCAGATTCCTTCCATGGTCAGCTTTTGAGGTATCGCCAGATCAACCAGAGCTTTACATAGACTTAATCGGTTAATGCTATCATAAGCATTCTTGAAATCCAGGAATAAATGGTGGGTTGGCAATCTGTATTCGATTCCTTTTTCCATTATCATCCTCAAAGCGAACACTTCATCAATTGTTGACCTTCCTTTTCTAAAACCCGTCTGATACTCCCCAACCATTCGCTCAACATAAGGGAAAAAATTACACAAGGTAATGAAAATATATGTATTATCAGTTAAATATAAACACATAGCAAACTTTTTTTTTTTTTAATTTCTTTATTGAGTATTATAACAATCTGTCTGTTGGACATTGGTTATAGTGAGGTAGGATGCCATTCACACCATATGTACAAAAAAAAAAAAATAAATAGAACAAAATAATAATCAAAAGTATATACAATAGACAATAAAATAAACTAACCTAAAAAATAAGAAAATTAAAACTAAGTAAAAAAAAAAAATAACATGCATACCTATATACAATCAGGCGAGGGAACTCCAGGAGAACCCTGCGCTACTCTTCCAACCGCGTCACTGGTACTAAAGCCAGCGGAGATTGGTCGAGAGCACTTTAGCCACATACACACATGTCTTGAGTGAAGAATCTGGCCATTGCCAGAACTCCAATTTATATAATCTACAAAAGGTCGCGAGGCCACTGCCGTTTCAACCTTCTTGGAGGATTATAGGGATGGGAGATGCTTGATAGGGATTGTGCAAGAGGATTTGGGTGGTAAGTAAGGTTCTGGTGAAATTTGGAGAATTTTTCTGGGATAAGGTCTAGGACAAATGGGATGTTAAGGTCATGATGTAGGGTTTTGTTGGATACATAGAAAGGAGCATCGACTATTGTTCGAAGGACTTTAGACTGGAAGGATTGGATGCGCTTGATGTTAGAAAATTTTGCTGATCCCCACAGTTCTAGTCCGTAAGTCCAAATAGGTTTCAGTATTGTCTTGTAGATCAGTAGCTTGTTTTCAATGGAAAGTTTAGATTTTCTGCTTAGTAGTCGGTATAGTTGGCCGTATCGTCGGTTGAGTTCTTGTCTTTTGAGTCTAGTATGCGGGTTCCAAGTTAGTCTTCGGTCTAAATGAAAGCCAAGATACCGGACTGTGTCTGAATAAGGAAGCTGGATGGAATTAAAGAGTACTGGTGGACAGGAATTGCGTCGGAGTGTAAAGGTAATATGTTGGCATTTAGATTCATTAACTTTAATGCGCCAGTTATTACACCAGTGCTCAATCAAGGTGAGGTGACTTTGGAGATTTAAGGATGCTATTTCGGGATTAGAGTTGGATGATAAGATTGCGGTGTCGTCAGCGAATGTTGCAAGAAAAGTATCGGGATGAACAGGGATGTCAGCAGTAAAGAGGATGTAAAGCACGGGACCCAAGACGCTGCCTTGGGGAACACCGGCTTTAACGGAGTAGATATTGGAAAATTCTGTTCCACAGCGAACTCGAAAGGAGCGGTCAGAGAGGTAGGATCGGAGGACTAGGTACAAGGACTGAGGTAAATGGATTTTAAGCTTGGAGAGCAGTCCGGAGTGCCATACCTGGTCAAATGCCTGTGCAATGTCCAGAAAGGCACCCGAACAGTATTCCTTGTTTTCTAGGGCTGAGGAAATATGATCAACAACTCGGAGTCCTTGTTGAACAGTAGAATGTTGAGAGCGAAAACCAAACTGATGGGAAGGGATATTTTGGGATTCTATAATGGGTAGGATTCGTTTCAAAAGGATCTTTTCAAAAATTTTTGAAAGGATTGGGAGTAGGCTGATTGGTCTATAGGATGTTGAGCTATTGAGAGGTTTTCCTGGTTTTGGGAAAAGGATAATAGTGGAGTGTTTCCATAACAGAGGGAAGTGGGTGGTGCGTAGGATACAATTGTAGATATATGTAAGGAATATGACTGCTTTGGATGGAAGTTGTCGAAGGATTTGAGGTGTAAGGAGATCATGTCCAGGAGCTTTACGGAGGATTAGTTTTTTTAATTGAAATTTTACTTCGGAAGGATGAATAGCTTTTGGGGGCAAGGAAAGTGGGATTGGTGATGTAAGGAGTTCTTCTACTGTTACGGTGTGGGCAGGATGGGATTCCGGATGTGAAATAAATGTATTGGATAGGTGAATGGCGAACTCCTCAGCTTTATCTTCGTCAGATGCTGCCCAGGAGCCATCACCTCGTCGGAGAGGATGGGAAATGCGGTGAGGATTTAGGATTTTTGTTGTGGTTTTCCAAAGGGAATTGTCGCGAGAAGAGAGGGAGGATAGGTAGGAGTTGAAGGATTGTGATCTGAAGGTGGCTAATTCCAGTTTTAATTGTTTGCAGTAGTAATTATAGGAGCAGCGGTCGGTAGGATGTCGGGTACGTTGCCATAATAATCTGGCACGGCGTTTGGTGCGGATTAGGTTAAGGAGGTGTTGGGGTAGAATGGTCTTTATAGGAATTCTGGAGGAGTCTTTTGGAAAGGAGGCAGTCCAGGCGGCTTGTTGGATTGTGGTAGTAAAGGAATTTACGGCACTATCAAGGTCATCGGGAGTTTTGAGGGATATGTTGAGATCAATATTATCGGAGATTATTTGGCGGAAAAGGTCCCAGTTTACTGGGCCCCTAATGAATGACGGTGGAGAAGGTTTGGGAACAGGTTCAAGTGAAACAT